GTCGCCTCGGTCTCGGCCTTGGGCGGCGGCGCGACGACCTCGTCGTCGTCGTCGTCCCGCAGGATGATGTACTCCTCTTGCTCTTGCATGGTGTGCTGGCTGGTTGCGGTGCGTGTGCTGGTTCTCGAACGTGGAGCTGCGCGTGTGCTTGGGTTTGGGCATCGTCTCCTTCGGAGAGCACCAGAGGAAGGCGCTCGCAACGTGTTCACCAATCCAGACGCGTGGAATTGCCTCGATGTTGACGCTGATACGGCCGCAGCCCGAAACGATAGCTCGATAGCGCAGCCCGGTGCCCCGCACGCCGCCGCCCCGCGCGCACCATGGAGGCCGCCGAGGGCGAGCTGGGGACGACGAAGAAGTTCCTCACGGCCAAGTTCCAGATCGGGTCCTGCAAGGGGCCGACGAACTACAATGCGCAGGAGACCGTGTTCCACCCCGACGACGTGCCGGCGCTCAAGAAGGAGAACAAGGCCTTCATGAAGAAGTGGAAGCGCGGCGGCGTCGGGCCCGGCGAGAGCCCCAAGTGGGACGGGTCGTCCTACGTCGACCAGTTCGTCTTCCGGCGGACGCGCGTCAACTCGGACCACGATCGGCCCAACATGTACGCGTACAACCTCCGCGCGGAGCACCTGCCGCCGAAGAACCTGGAGCACATCCCCAAGCCCCACAAGTTCAAGATCGACGTCATGAGCGACGAGCGCAAGGCCGCGATCCGCGCGGCGAAAGCCGCGGACCCCGTGCTCGCGGGAAAGGCGACGAACTCGGAGATGCCCGTGAACCGCAAGCTCCTGGGCAAGACGTCGTGGAATTCGTCGTCCTACACCGAGGACCACGAGCGCGCGGCCCGCGCCAAGGCCGAGGACGGCAAGGCGAAGCGCAACTCGCGGCGCGCGAACCGGAAATTGGCGTCGTACATTCCGCCGCAGAAGCTGCCGCTGCCGACGGCGCCGCCGCCCGTCAAGCCCGAGGAGTCCGACGCCGAGTTCACGGGCAAGCCGAGCCTCTTCACGCGGCCCCGGGACCCGGCGCCCTCCGCGTCCTTCAACCGCATGACGACGCGGCCCACGGAGAAGATCCGGTCGTTCCAGCACTCGGGCGTCTTCGAGTTCAACGGCCAGGAGGGCCAGTGGATGTGGTCCGACACGGCGTCCTTCGTCCGCGAGAGCCCCGGCGACCTCATCAAGGTCCACAACCCCAACGCCTACAACTTCGCGTCGCCGACCATGTCCCTCTGAGGGCCCCGCGCGCGCGTCGTCGTAACGGAACTTCGCGTCGCCGCCCAGCCGCTCGCGTCGTCGCTCGCGCAGCCCAAGGGCGAATCCCTCGCGACAAAGGAGGCCGCCCCGCGCGGACAGTCGCATGAGCCGCCTTAGGGCGCATGCCTACTCCTCGTCGTCGAAGTCGTCGTCGTAGTCGTCGTACTCGTTGCCCGTCGTCGCGGCCTCGATGGACGCGGTGCCGCCGTCGAGGGTCGCGGGCGGCGACGCGGGCGCGCGCTTGGGCGGCGGTGCCGCCCGGGCCTCGAGCGTCGCGTCGACGAGCGCCGCGAGGTGCGCGAGCGCGGCGTCGGCGTCGTCGGGCCCGCCGCCGCGGCGCGGCTTCTCCGCGTCGGCCGCGTCGAGGTGCCGCTCGAGCTTGGACCGGAGGTAGTCGAGGCCGCTCCGGAGCGCCGCGTGCTCCTTGGCCGTCGCCGCGGCCGCGGCCTCGGCCTCGCCCTTGGTCGACAGGAACTGGCGCGTGCGGTGCTGCTCCGACTCGAGGTAGGCCTCGAGGCGCTCCTGCGCGTCGCTGAGCTCGTCGCGCGTCTCGTTGAGCTGGTTCGTCAGCCGCACGTAGGCCTCGGAGCCCACGTCGCGCTCCTCCCTGACGATCTCGACCTCGGCGCTGAGCTGCTCCTCCTCCTGGCGCGCCGCGTCGCGCTCCTCCTCGGCGACGCGGAGCGCCTGGGCAAGAAAAGGGTGCGAAATTCCCAACTTCAAAGGCTCCTATCTCGGTCGTTTTCCACTCGTTTCGGATGATTTTTGGACGAGCGATCATCTCTCGGAGCGCTCTCGAAGCGTGGGTGCTGTTTCCGAAACGCGCGCGCGCGGAACACTCACGTTGAAGCGACGTTGAATCACCCTTTTCCTGCCCTGCGGAGCGCGAGCTCCGCCTCGTCGCGCCGCTCGCCGAGCTCGTCGCGCGCGGCCTCGGCGCCCTCCGCGCGCGCGTCCGCGGCCTCGGCGGCGGCGCGGGCCGTCTCGACCTCGGCCTCGGCGTCCCGGAGCTGGGCCGTGAGGGCCTTGAGGTCGCCCTCGGCGGCGAGCGCCGCGGACTTGGCCGCGAGGACCTCGCGCTCCGCGTCGTTGCCGCGGCGCTCGGCCTCGGCGGCCTCCTCCGCGGCGGCGGCGGCGTCGGACCGCGTCGCGCGCGCGACGCGCTCCGCGGCCTCGGCGCGCGCGCGCTCCGCGTCGACGTCCTGGCGGCACGCCGCGAGCGCGGTCTCCAAATTCGCCTTCGCGGCCGCGGCGCCCTCGGCGGCGCGCTCCGCGGCCGCGAGCTTCGCCGCGGCGGCCTCGCGGTCCGCGTCGGCCTCGGCGGCCTTGGCGCGCACGTCCGCGAGCGCCGACGCGCCGTCGTCGCGCTCCTTGCGCAGCGTCTTCAGGTCCGCCTCGGCCGTCGCGCGCGCGGCGTCGAGCGCCCGCGCGGCCGCGTCGAGGTCGCCCCGCAGGGCCGCCGCGGCGTCCTTGGCGGCCTTGGCCTCGCCCTCGAGGGCGTCGCGCGCGGCGGCGACGTCGAGCGCGTGGCGCTCGGCGGCGGCGAGGAGCCGCTGGGCCTCGCCGCGGCCGCGCTCCGCGTCCGCGACCTTGGCCTCGGACGCCTGGAGCTCCTCGAGCGCGGCGCCGAACTTCGCCGCGTCGGCCTCGCGCGCGGCGTCGGCCGACGCCTTGGCCGACGCCATCGCGGCCTGGAGCTCGGCGATCTCGCCCGTCGCCGCGCCCTCGGCGCGGTCCATGGACTGCTTGACCGCGTCCAGGCGGCTCGACGCCTCCGCGGCGCGCGCCTCGGCCTCCTCGGCGCGCGCGGCGAGCTCCGACGTTTTCGTCTCGAGGTCGACCTGGCGCGCCTTCGCGGCCTCGAGCTGGGCCTCGCGCGTCTCGACCGTCGCGCGCGCGCCGTCGGCGTCGTCGCGCGCGCGCTTCAGCGCGGCCTCGGCGTCGGCGCCCCGCGCGTCCGCGGCGTCCGCGCGCTCCGTGGCCGACGCGAGCTGGCGCCGCGCGTCCGCGCCCGCGCGCTCCGCGTCGCTCAGGGCCCTCGCGGCCTCGGCGGCGCGGTCCTCGAGCGCGGAGACGTCGTTCGCGACCGTCAACCGCGCCCCCTCCGCGGCGTCGCTCTTGGCCAGGGCGACGGCCGCGGCCTTCTCCGCGTCCGCGGCGCGCTCCTCGGCGGCGGCGGCGCGCTGCGCCGCGTCCTCCGCGGCCGCGCGGCACGTCGCCTCCGCGGCCGACGCGGCCTCGAGGGCCGCGTTGTGCCGCGCGGCGGCGGCGCGCAGCGTCTCGACCTCGGCCTTGACCTCCTCGTACTTGCCGCGCTCCGCGTCGGCCGCCGCGCGCTGCGCGCGCGCCGTCGCCGACGCGACGTGCTTCGCCGCCGCCGCGACGCGGCCCGCGGCCGCGCGCATCGCGCCCGTGAGCAGCGACGCCTCGCGCTCGAGGGCGGCGGACGCGGCGGCGCAGACGGCCCGCGCCCGCTCGGCGTCGCCGCCCTCGTCGACGGCCTCCGGCTCCGCGTCCGGCGCGCCGACGAGGCCCGCGCGGCAGCTGCCCGGCGGTGCCTCCGCGCCGTCCCAGGCCCACGCGGCCACCCGCAGGCGCCACGCGGCCGCCGCCGGCGCGTCGGGCGCCGCGGCGCGGCCCGTCGACGCGTCGACGGGGAGGGGCTTGTCGCCCACGGGGATCCAGGCGCCGTTCTCGGAGCGTTCCAAGGAGACGGCCGTCGGTTTCGACGTCACGCGCGGCTTCGCGCCCGCCGCGGGCGCCTCCCGGGGGCTCGCCTTCTTCGCCGCCGCGGCGACGAGTTGGAGCATGGCGTTCGTGCCGTCGACGCCCTGGCCGCTCAGGATGGACTCGGACGACGCCACGGGCCCCGCGCGGAACGCCAGTTGGTTCGCCTCGCCGTCCAGGAGCAGGTCCTTGGCGCAGTCCAGCAACTTCAAAGTCTGCAAGACGCTATCGAAATAGGCCTTCTTCGCGTCGGGGTCCTTGGACGGCACGGGCAGGGACCGGCCCTCGCCGAGCCAGCCCGGCGGGCTCGCCGCGTCCGTCGCCGCGAGCACGTCCTGGAGGAAGCGCACGGGCGGCCGGTTGAGCAGCTTCTCGACCTTGTCCAAAGACTTGAACTTGAGCGCCGACCAGGAGATGATCTCGCCTAGAGCCGCCACCGTCTTGCGCGGCGCCGCGCCGTCGACGACGACGGGGCCCTCGGCCGCGCGCGCGTGGTCCGACGTCGCCGCGATGAGGCCGCTCTGGAGCACGACCTCCCGGCACTTCGTGGGCTTCTCGAACTCGAAGCCGAGCCAGGCCTCGTCGTCGCCGGCGTCGGGCCGCCAGCCGACGCCGCCGGGGCCGCCCTTGGCGCCGAGGCAGCCGCGCCGCGCGTCGCCCGACGACGCGCCCGTCGGCCGCGCGGGCGGCCGCCCCCGCGACGCCTCCGCCTTGGCCGCGGCCGCCGCGAGCGCGGCCCGCAGCTCGCCCGCGGCCTGCGCGGACCGCGAAGCGGCCTCGTCGAGGTCCATCTTCGCGCCGTCGAGGTCGCCCGCGAGGTCGTCGCCGGTGGGCGTCTCGAGCTTCGACGCCGCGATCGCCGCGCGCTCCGCCTCCGCCGCCAGCGCCGCGGCGGCGAAGACGAGGTTCGTCTTCTCGTCGCCGCCGTCGTCGCCGCCGACGAGGGCCGCCCGCTCCTGCTCCGTGTCGTCGACGAGCGCGTCGCGCTTCGACACGCACTGGTCGAGCACGAGCTTGACGCGCTCCCGCCGCTTCGCGTCCTTGAGCGCCTCCTTCCGGTCGTCGCCGTTCGACGGCGTCGGCGCGGCCTCGGCGACCTCCAATGCTCGTTCCACCTCCCCCACGAGGTTGTTCGCGCCCGCGAGCAGTAGGGTCTCGTCCTGGCCGAGCTTGCCGAGCTCGCTGAGCAGGAGGTCGAGCCGCGCGCGCATCGCGTCCGCCGCGCCCTTGGTCACGAGCGCCGCGGCGGCCGCGGCGTCCGACGACGACCGCGTCGCGTCCTCGAGCGTCGCCGAGTCGCCCAGGTTCGTCGACCGCGACCCGTCCAGGCTCCCGGACCCCGCCTCCCTCAGCAGCCGCAGGTCCTCGCCGAGCGCGTCGCGGAACACCGCGACGTGGGACCGGCGCTCGCCGACGCGGCCCTTGAGCGCGTCGAGCGCCCGCGCGGCGTCGGCCCACTTCGACGGCAGGGCGAGCTCCTTGACGCTGAGCTCCACGTCGCCCTTCTGGCGCAACAATTGGAACCGCTTCCGCCGCTCGGCCTCGGCGCGCCGCGCGGCGTCCTTGTGGGCCCGGCGCATCTTCGCGACCTCGGCCTCGTGCTGGCGCGACGCCTGCTGCTTGTCCTGCCAGGTCTGGCGCGTGAGGGCCTCCATCTCCGTGATCTGGGTGCTGAGCATGCTCTGCGCGGCCTTCAACTCCTCGTCGTTGACGGGCCCGCCGCCGGAGTCGCCGCCGCCGCTCGCGGCCTCGGCGGCCTTCTCCGCGAGCATCTTCTTGAGCCGCGCGACCTCCTCGTTGAGCTTGTCGATCTGGCCGCTCTCCTCGTTCTTCGTCACCGACTTCTTGATGGTCTTGGCGCGCGCGGCGTAGCGGAGCGTCGACATCGTCTCCTTGACGTTCGCGCGCGCGGGGCTCAGCGTCGCGAGCATGGTGCAGAGCGCGTTGCCGCCGAGCGACTCCTGGAGCACGCGCGTGAGCTTGGAGTTGCGGTAGGGGATGAAGACGCCCTTCTTGCCCCGGGCCTGCTCCACGAGGCCGTTGATGACGGACCCGAGCGTCGTGAGCGACTTGTTGATGTTCGCGCCCTCCTTGAGCCGCGCGCCCGTCGCGCCCGTGCGGTCCGCGCGCTCGGAGCCCGCGAGGTCCACCAAATTCAGCTTCGAGTAGACGTTCTTCGACTCGTTCTCCGTGTCCTTCTGGTGGACCGTGATGAGGCACACGGAGTGGCTGCGGCTCGATTCGCTGTTCATCTGCGTCGACCCGACGGTCCGGTTCTTCGCGCCGAGATCCATGAGCTCCGCGATCTTCGCCGCGTTCTCCGCGACGAGCGCCTGGAGGCCCTGGACGTGGATGCCGAGCACGGGGTGCTCCTTGACCTGGAGGCCGCCGGACTTCTCCTTGTCCTTGCGGTTCCGCGGGTCCAGCAGATCGTAGATGATCTCGTTGTAGATCTCGAAGTAGGAGCACTGCACGAGGAAGAGGCGCGACGCGTTCGCGGCGGTTTCCGACGCGATGCGCTCGAAGATGGCCGTGTTGATGCGCGGGATGAGGCCCTGGTTCGACTCGCTGCTCAGGTCGCCGGTCATGGACCAGGACTTGCCGGAGCCCGTCTGGCCGTAGGCGAAGACCGTGCTGTTGAAGCCGTCGAAGGCCGACTGGACGACGGGCACGCCGACGTCCTGGAAGACCTCGCTCTGCTTGCTGCTGTCGTCGTAGACGTGGTCGAAGGCGAACTCCACGGGCTTGTCGTTCTCCGGGTCGACGAGCTTCGCGATGTTCCCCTCCTTGCTGAAGACGTTGATGTCCTTCTCGCTCAGCTCCTTCTTGCTCAGGGGCCGGCACCGCAGCGCGACGCGCACGTTCGTCACCTCCGCCTCCGGCATGGTCGGCCGGTCGTCGGTCGCGGCGCGGCCGTATGTGTGCGTCCAAAACGCGCGGTCTTCCGTTGCGCGGGAGCGACGGAGCCGCGTCCGGCGCGCGAGCGCGTCGCACCGACGCGGGCAGCCCCGGCCGTTTGGGCGGCTTGTCCACACCCGTCAATCGTCAACAAAGGAAGTATCAACTCCGCCCCTTGGGCAAAACACCTTGAATTTCTTCGTGGGAGCGCCCATCGGCGGTGGCTGCAGGCAGCCACGCCCGTCGGGTCGGTGGCCCGCGGTGCACCGCTACGACCTCGGAGGAGGCCACGCCGGCCGGCCACACGAGCGGCGCCGCGCGGCACCCGGCGCCGTCCAAAAGTTGCACCGCGGCAGCCCATCGCCGACGCAGCCCGCCGACGGCGCGGCCCTCGGAGCCCTAGGCCATGGCGCCGCAGCGGCTGGCGCCGCTGGAGCAGACGCCGTCGCAGAAGAAAAAGAAGGAGCACAAGCACAAGCACAAGCACCACAAGAAGGGCGAGGAGAACTTCCACGACAAGGGCCACGAGAAGCTCAAGGCGCGGCCCAAGCACGTCACGGGCCCGGGCTACAACCGCAACGTGAAGCTCCAGCCCCTGGACGCCGGCGACGCGCCGCCGGCGCCCGACGCGCCGAAGCGCGTCGACGACCTCGACGCGACGCTGGGCGAGGCGCAGGAGTGGTTCGAGGAATTCCACGAGGAGCAGAAGGACGTCCAGGCCTTGGCGGAGCGGGGCATCATCAAGCCCAACGGCATGGACCAGCTCGCGGAGCACATGGTCATCGTCAGCGATTTGTACGCCGTCCACGCCAAGGACGAGCGCGCGCGGGAGATCAAGGCGAAGCAGCGGAAGAAGCAGTCGTTCGTGCAAAAGGTCGCGGGCAAGAAGCCCCAGCTCAAGTACGAGGAGATGCCGGCCAACTCGGCGCCGCCCTTGGCGACGTCCGTGCGCGCGACGGCGGCCCTCAAGAACTACCAGAACCGCGGCGTCGGCGGCGGCGGCGAGCACGGCGCGCTCGGCGTGGGTAAGAAGAAGAAGGGCGGCGGCCTCGGCGCGGTGCGCGCGTCCGTCGCGTTGCGCAAGCAGGTGACCTGGCGGAAGCTGCGGAAGGTGCGGCCCATCCGCGACCGGAAGCACGTCGACGCGACGCGCCCGGAGTGCGAGAACATCCGCTTCGAGGCCGTCCTGGCGAAGCGGGGCTGCTGCGGGTCGGGCTACCGGCCCTACAACGACGTCGGCGTCAACGACCCCCTGGCCTGCGCCTGCGTCCACATCTTGGGCGTGAGCGAGGACCAGCTCCGGCTGCTGTACAAGGAATTCGGCAAGGAGGACGCGGACGACTCGGGGACGATCAGCGAGGACGAGTTCATGGCGCTGCTCGGGGCGACGGACACGGGCTTCACGCGGGCGCTCGTGCACGCCGTCGTCTGGGGCTGGGCGGGCTGCGGCGACTCCGACTCGAAGCAGCTCACGTTCTCCGACTACGTCCTCGCGTGCTGCACCGTGTGCACGCTGAGCCGGAAGCAGCTCATGTTCCTCGTCTTCGAGCTCTTCGACGGCGACCGCAGCGGCGGCATCGAGGTCGCCGAGTTCCGGAAGCTGGACCACGTCGTGAGGGATCTGGGCGGGGCGCTGTTCCCGGACGACTACGCGACGTTTCTGGAGACGTTCGACAAGAACGGCGACGGCACGGTGGGCTTCCGCGAGTTCCTGAAGCTCGACGAGGCCTTCCCCATGCTCTTCTTCCCCGCGACGCACCTCTTGGAGATCTTCCGCGAGCGGACGCTCGGCGCCGCGGCGTGGGATGAGTTGGTCAAGGCCTACGAGGCGTCGAGGGCATCCCCATCTCCTTCCACGACCAGGTCGAGCAGCTCTCGCGGTCCAAGGTCGGCGCGCCCAAGGCCGCGACGGCCTGCGTGCGCTCGACGGGCCTCCGACTGCGACTTCGACGAGGAGAACAAGCGCTACGTCGGCAAGCGCTACGGCCGCTACGGCGACATCACGGGCGAGAGCCTCATGGACTCGGAGCTCAGCCCGCGGTCGAAGAAGATGATGGGCGAGGGCGCGAAATACGCGGACCCGCGATAGTAGTAAGAGGAAGGTTTCGCATTAGAAGCAGTCCCTTAGCATGCGCGCGCCGTCGCAGCCCGGGCCGTAGTGGTCCGCGACGACCGCGTCGCCGATGAAGCCGCAGCGCTCGTAGAGCGCGCGCGCACCGGCGTTGTCGCAGCGCACGAAGAGCGACACGCTCAGCGCCTTGCGGTCGCGGAGCGCGGCGACGGCGGCCTCGACGAGCGCCCGGCCGACGCCTCTCCGCCGCGCGCGCGGCGCCACGCAGAGCTTCGTGAGGCGGCTGTGGGACGGGTCCGCGAAGGCGAAGCCGCAGGGACCGACCGCGTCGACCGCGATCCGCGCCCAGAGTTGCTGGCGGTCGTCGGTAGCCGCCGCGCGCACGAACGCTTCCAAAACATCGCCGGAGACGAAGCGCTCCTCGCGCCGCGTGAAGCAGTCGCCGTCGAGCTGCGCTATCGTCGCGACGTCGTCCGGAAAGACCGGTGGTCGGAGCTGGATAGATGTGCTCTCCATAGGCTGCGCTCTCACTCAAGCGCTCTTCATAGGCAGAGCTCAACCAACTCGAGCGCTCTGCAAGTTTGACTCAACTTGAACGTTTCCGTATCCATCGGTATCCATGTTCGTACGCGTGCGCCCGGAGGCAGCATTCAGAGACGCGTGGTTCTTATGAGAACGTATCTAACGGGAGGTCGTCGTGCAGCGGCAGACGCCTGTGCGGTACTCGGGGCCGCCGTAGCCTGGATGTACTAGGGACTTGTTGGAGCCGATAACCACCTCTTGCGGACCATAACCAAGGCTATAACCATTCATCATCAAAATGCCAGCGTATTCGCACGTCGTATGCGGCATGGTGCTAATGCCTTCGCACGAGCTGCTGTCTGTCGAGTCGGGTGTATATTGGTCTCCCGTGACAAGCTCGTACCTCGTCCAGCTCGCAATCGCGATGGGCTCTTCGTAACGACAGATGCCGATACCACCAGCACCGTAGGGCTGTGCGCACGTCGCAGTGGCACCGCACTCGGCGTCGGTGGAGCAGACCAGCGCGCAGTGCTTTCCGTTGCCGATCGGGTCGTTGAGCACACATTCGGGCTTGGCCGTCACCCCGTACGGTACGTCAGCGGGGCAATGCCGGCCCGCGGGCGGGCTGTAGGGGTTGCACGACGCGGCACAGAAACGTCCGTTCACGTCCGGCGCGGAGTAGTTCGCCTCATTCGGGAGGCAGCTCCCGTTGAAAGGGTTTCCGTAGTGCGTCGCCGTGCCCTGGAGGTAGCCCGCCGTGCAATTGCCAGAGGACAGCGCCGTGAATGCGTCAAGCACGGTGCAGGTGTCGTCGTCACCGAGGACCCACGCGGAGCAGTTCTTGCTCGCAGTGCACAGCGTGCAGCATGCGTTGGGATCGCCGATGCTCTTGTAGCTCTCGATCGTGTGCGCCGATGTCGTGTCGAGGCACGTTTCTTCCAGCGTCGCACACCCAGACGGCCCGGCTCCGACTTGTGTGCTTCCAAGAAGGGCGAGAAGACCAAAGCTGGCAGCGAGCATCGACGAGCTGCCCATTCCAATGGCAGGCGGCTCACAATTACCACTTCAACCACTTCAACAACCGTTTTGATGCACCTCCACTTGGCGAGCCCGCACGATAGGAGCTGCGCCTGCGCGAACAACTGCGCCCGCGCACAGCACCTCCGACCGTCCGAGACGCGCGCGACGCTCTCGCACGCGCATAAACAGCACCTCCGATCGCCTGAGACGCGCGCGACGCTCCTCGCACGCGCATAACAACGCAAACGATGCGCCTGCTCACTCTGAACACGCTCAAGTGCACGCGCAAGGACGTCACGGACGGCCGCCTGCGCCTCGTGGCCACGAAGGTCGAGGTGCGCCAGAATAGCGAGTTCGACGCCGAGTTCCTCGAGCACGTGCTCCCGACGCTCGAGTGGCCGTCGCTCGTCGCGTCCGCGAGCACCGTCGGCGTGACGCTGCCGCCCGCGCTCGACGACGCGCTCCGGGGCGACGAGGCGTTCCTCCGCGCGCTGCAGCACGTGCTCTTCGACGTCCACGTCATCGAGGGCCAGCTCGTCTGCGAGGAGAGCGGCCAGACCTTCCCCATCGAGGAGGGGCGGCCGAACATGATGCTCGACGAGGGCCTGCTGTAATGACAGAGAGTCCGCCTTAGAGCCAGGGCGCCCAGCCCGGGAAGAGGACGCAGAGGTTCTCCGGGTCCGTGGCGTCGGCGACGAGGTTCTTGACCTGGCCCTCGACGGAGAGGACGTCGTGGCCCGCGTCCTCGTAGCCCTGGAGCTTCTGCTTCACCTTGAAGAGCGCGCGCTCCGCGTCGTCGTTCGCGTCCCCGGCGTTGGACTCGCCGCCGCCCGGCCGCGACGCGTCGTCGCCGTCGTCCGCGTCGTCGTGGCGCTGGCGGTGCCGCGCGTCCTTGGGCGAGACCATCCACCGGTAGAGCGGGTCGTGGATGAGCACGTCGAGGATCGTGACGATCTCGCCCGCGTGCCTTCGCAGCGTCTTCATCGTCGCCTCGGCGGCCAGGGTGAAGGCGCCGTGCGTGCCGTGGCAGCCCATGCCGTCGACGACGTCGCGCGTGAGCCGGAACGGCACCGTCTCCGGCGCCGTCAAGGCTTTCCCCTGGTCGAAGGCGACGCCGAAGTCGATGTGGACCTGCTCGCCGGACCGCGTGTCCACGAGGATGTTCTGCGCGTGGCGGTCGCCGATGCCCAGCACGTGGCCCACCATCGCGTTCGCCGCCACCGACCGCGTGTACGCGCCGCGGCGGTCCAACCTGGGCAGCAAAAGGGTGCGAAATTCCCAACTTCAAAGGCTCCTATCTCAGTCGTTTTCCGCTCGTTTCGGCTGATTTTTGGACGAGCGATCATCTCTCGGGACGGTCTCGAAGCGTGGACGCTTTTTCCGGAACGCGCGCGCGCGGAACACTCACGTTGAAGCGACGTTGAATCACCCTTTTGCTGCCCTGGATCCGACCAGTCGCGCGCGTCCGCGAAGTGCTCGACGAAGAAGAACCGGAACGCCGGGCGGAACTTGGCGCAGATATCATCAAAAGCGCGCCGCTTGCGCCGGCGCGCCTCGTCCGCCTTCTTCGCCGAGCCCTTGCCGTCCTTCGCGTTCGTCAGCTTCGCGCGGCACTCCTGGTGCGACAGGTCCGACGGGTGGTAGCGGCTGTGCGCGCCCGCGCCGGAACCACTCCGGTCCGTGAGGTAGGCGCCGAAGGGGATCGTGTGGTCCACCCACTCGAGCACGCCGGCCTGGGGGCTCAGCGGCACGATCGCGTAGGTCCGGATCCGCGCGCGGCCCGCGACGAGTCGCGCCCCGTCGCGGTCGAGGAGCGCGTTCACGGCCTCGAAGACCTGCTCCATGACCGCGTCCTGGCGCACGTCGTCGCGGCCCTTGACGAGCTGCTTGTGCCGGCGGCCGTCCGCGCCTAAACACTCGACGATCTTCGGCCGGTGGATGCCCGTGTCCGTGAGCGCGAGGTTCGGCGCGAAGCCGGAGACGAGGGGCGCGTCGAAGCCCGACGCCGCGCCCATGCCGAGGCGCGTCACCACGGGCACGGCGGCGCCCTTGAGCAGCGCCTTGACGCGCTGGTCCAGCGGCTTCGCGCCCCGGCCCTTGCCGCAGAAGACGGCGAAGGGGAACTTCCCCCCCTTGGGCAGCTCGCCCTTGCGCACCTTCGCGAGCACGGGCTCCGTCGGCGCCAGGGCGAGGTCCACGTAGGCCGCCGCGAGCTCCTCGAGGCCACCGACGAGGGGCGCCGCGGGCGACGTTTTGGACGCTTTCACGGCGTCGAGGAGGCGCCGCGCGGCCGCGACGCGGCCGCCGGCGACGCCGCTCGACGCGTGGTTCTCCTTGAAAGTGCCCGCGCCCTTGTCGCCGGGCTCGACGTCGCCGCCGTTGGCCAGCGCGACGAGCTGGAGCACGGTCCGCGCGGGCGCCGCGTCGCACAGTTTTAACAATAAACCGTCGAGCGCGTTCCCGAAGACGTCGCCGTGCGCCGCGAGACGCGAGCTCAGCTGGTAGAGCAGGGGCGCCAGCGCGCGGAGCCGCGGCGCCGGGCACCGGTTCGCCAGCGTCGCCATGATGCCGCAGGCCTCGGGCGACTCGGGCCGCGCGAGCCACGCGGACACCGCGGCCGACGCCGCGCGCCGCGCCAAATCGTCGCAGCCCTCGGCGCCCGCGCCGCCGTCCGTGAGCACGGCGCTAAAGGCCTCGAGCGCTTCAACTAATAACACCCGGCGCTGCGACGTCAGGTTCTCCAGCGCCTCGTCGTCGATGTCGCACTCGCGCCGCAGCACGACGCACTGGCGCCGGAGGTGCTCGACGGCGTCCGGGTCCGCCGCGAGCTTCTCCGCGCGCGCGCCGGGCCCGTCGCCGGCCTTGCGCTTCCTCGACGACCCCTTGGCCCCCTTGAGCTGGGACACGGCGTCGAAGAGCGCCTCGGCGTCGCGGAGCTGCTTCGACCGGTCCGCGGCGACGCGGCGCGCCTGGCGCCACTCCGGCGACTTGAAGCGCGCCTCGAGCTTCGCCTGTAGCACGGCCACATAATCGCCCAGCGCGAGGCGCGCGGACCGCCGGCAGTCCGCGCCGCGGTCTTTCGCCGCGGCGTCCGACGCCGCGCGCAGGTAGCGGTCGAGGATCGCGCTCGACGTCTCGCTCCGCGTCTGCGCGGCCCAGGAGCCCGCGAGCACCAACGCGTCGAAGCGCACGTCGGCCAACGAGCGCGCGCCGTCGCCGTCCGCCGCCGTGCTCTTGCGCTTGCCCGGCGGCGCGTCCGTCGCCTCCACGACCCGCTTCGCGTGGCGCAGCGCGTCGTCGCGGTCGCCCGACGCCCAGAGCACCTTGCCGTACTGGACGGCGACGCGCAGCGCGCCCGCGGCGCCGCCGCCCGCCGCGACTCGCAGGCGCGCGACGGCCGACGACGCGACGCCGACCGCGCCGCGCGCGCAGGCCTCGTCGACGAAATCCAGCAGATGCGCGCGGAGCGCGCCCGCGAGGAGGTCGTGCGCCTCGGGCGCGACGGACGACGCCGCCGTCTTCGCGGCGCGGAGCGTCGCCTCGCGGCTCGCGAGCGCGACCTCGCCGACGTCGCCGAACAAGGCGCCGGACGCGAGATCCGCGGCGCCGCCGCGCCGCTGCCACAGATCCAAGACGCCCGCGACGTCGCCCGGCCCGCAGACTGCGCCGACGACCTCCGACGCCTCCGCCACGGCCAACAGCCGGCCCCGGAGCGCCGCGACGGTCTTCGGCGACAGCGTCGACGCGGCGCCGCCGTCGACGGCCAGGGTCTTCGCGCGCGCGAGCCGCTCGAGCGCCGCGGCGCCGTCGCGCGCGCTCAGCCGTCGCAACGCGCCGTAGAAGGCGCCGTCGAAGGTGTCGTGCGCGTCGTCCGGGGCGTCCCAGGCCCAGTCCGCGGCCCGCCACCGCGCCTCGGCGCCGAAGCCGCCCGCGAGCTCCGCCGCCGCGCCGAGGTACGCGTCGCCGACGTGGTGGAGACCCAGCCGCCGGAGCGCCGTCGCCACGAGCCCCCGCGACCGCGCGTCGTCGCCGGCGCCCGGCGCGCCCTCGACGCGCCGCGCGTGCAGGGCCGCGTCGACCTCGCCCAGGACGTCGCGCCAGCCGCCCGTCGACCGCTTGACCTCGACGACGCGCGAGAGCCACGCGTCCGCGTCTGCTTCGACCTCGACGCGCGCCGCGCCGCCCCGGAGCGCGTCGCTGTCGCCGAGCAGGGCCGACGCGGCGTCGATGGCGTCGCGCGCGACGCCCTCCGCCCCCGCCTCGCCGTCGTTGTCGTCGGTCTCCCGGTCGCGCCGCGGGCTCCCCGGCGCCGCCGCCGCGCCGGGATCGAGCGCCAATTCCCCGTATAAAACGGCGGCCCAGGGCTTCGCCGCCGCCGCCGCGGCGAGGGCGACGGCCGCGTGGGGCACGCCGCCCAGGGGGCACCCGTAGGGCAGGCGCGACGTCCCGTCGCCGAGCTTCTTGCCGAAATCCTCGCGCCGTCGGCTCCGCGCGACGAAGCGGCGCCCGCTCGGGACGAAAACGGCGCCGTCGTCGCGCGACCGCTTGCCCGGCGCGCGGCTTTTTTCGAGAAAGAGCGCGAGCTCGCGGTGGCGGCAGAATTCGAAGGCGTCGACGACCAGGCGCGCGGCCTCGCGGTCCGCGGCCGAAGCCGCGGGCGCCGTCGCCGCGTCCAGGACGTCGCGGAGCTTCACGCAAAGTGCATCTCTCAAACCGTCGCGGCACCGGTCGCCATTGTCGCCCGCCCGCGACCCCACCAAATCATAGACGACCGCGGGGAACACGAGCGCGGCGAAGGACGGCGCCGCGGCCGCGAGCGCCGAGCACCGACCGAGGAACGCGTCTCCGGGGAACGCCTTCGCGTCGCGCGGCGCCCGTAACAGCGCCGGCACGAGGCCCGTGACCCAGCGCCCGAAGTCGCCGTCGACGGCCCAGACGCCGTCGCCCCAGCAGTCGACGCCTTCGTCCGCGTCGCCCGCGGCGTCGCCCGCGGCCGTGGCCGCGTAGGCGACCGCGCGCGTCTCGAGAAACGGCAGCAGCAGCGCCGCGTGGGCGTCATGTTCCGCGTCCCGCGCGGCCGCGGCGACGTCGCCGTTCGCTTCATCGTCGGCGGCGAGCGCCTTCGCGGTCGCGCGCGCCGCGCGGGACACGGCGCCGTCGCCGTCGACGAGCGCGCGCGCGAGCGCGACGCAGGCTTCCCCCTTGGCGCCGTCGAAGGTCCGCGGCGGCGCCGGCGCCGCGGCGCCGGGCGCCGCCGCGCCGCGCGCGCCGAGCGCGCCGAGGCAGTCGCCCGCGAGCGCGCGCTCGCGCGCGTCGCCCGACGACGCGACGAGTTCCGCGAGCGCGTCCACGGAGCCCGCGCCGCCGCGGGTCGCGTCGTCCGCGAGCAGCAGGCGCAGGCTCGCGAGGGCAAAGATGCGCGCGGGCCGCGCGAGCGGGCCGGCGCCGCCGCCCGCGGCGTCCATGGACCGCCGCCAGTCCCAGCGGTCGCGGGGCGCGCGCGCGTCGAAGCGGAACGCCGGCGACAGCGCCGCGGCGCTCCGGAGGTCGCGCGGCGGCTTGAGGACGCAAAAGGCCGCGAGGGCCGCGGCGCGCTGCGCCAGCGCCGCGCAGCGGCCGCCGTCGGCCGCCCGCGCGGCCCGCGCGCGCGGCAGCGCGATCCAGCCCGCGTCGCCCGCGTCGTCCTCCGCGCGGCCGTAGGCGGCGGCCAGCGACCCGGCGAGGATGGCCGCCGTCGGCAGGAGCGGCGCGAGCGCCTTGCAGCCCTCGGCCGTCGCCGCGGCGCTGCGCACCGTCCGGTCCAGCAAATCGCACGCGGCCTCGTCCGACTCCGGGAAGCCCGCCGCCGGCTCGCCGGCGCCCGCGCACGCGTGGACGAGGGCCGCGAGCGCCGCCGTGAGGCAGGACGCGTAGTGGGGCGCCTCGGCCGCCGTAGCCTCGCAGGTCGACAGGCCCGACGCGTCGAGGACGACGCGGAGCGCCGCGAGCGCGCGCGCGGCGCCGCCCGCGCGGCCCGCGGGCCGCGCGAGCGCCGCGGCGAGCGAGAGCACGACCTCCGCGGCGTTGCAGCGGTGGAGCAGGTGGCGCGCGGCGGCGGCGGGGTCCTTGGGCGCGCCGTCGAAGCCCGCGCCGAGCTGGCGGAGCGCGGCCGTCGCCGGCGCGGCCGCGGCCGGGTCGTCGTAGACCGCCTCGACGAGGTAGAAGACGACCCGCGGCAGCCGCTCGCGCATGGCCGCGTTGCAGCGCTTCTCGCCGCCGAGCTCGCGGTCGAGGAACTCCGTCATGCGCCGCGCCGCGGCCGGCGCCGCCAAAAACGACGACGCGACGACGCGCGGCGCGCACGACGCGACGAACGCGCGGCGCGCGGCGTCGTCGGCGCCGAAGCCCAGGTGCTCCGCGAGCTCGGCGAAGAGCGTGAAGCGCAGGTGCGCGTCCTCCGCGCCGCAGAGGAGCGGCGCGACGCGCGGCGCCGCGCGCGCGAGGAACGCGCGGCCGCTCCGCGCGAGGCCCGCGAACTTGGCCGGGAACTCGGCGAGGGGCCGCGGCGGCGCCCCGCCGGCGCCGACCCAGTCCGCGAGGAGGTGGCCCACGTGGGCCTCGAGGAGCGCGCGCGCGCTCGGGAACCCGAGGCGCGCGGCCGCCGCGCCGACGGCCGCCGCGGCCGGCGCCGCGAGGTGGGGCCGCCGGCCGAGGGCGACGAGCCGGCCGAGGGCGAGGCGCGCGACGCCGCAGCCGGCGACGCCGGCGACGCTGCCGACGGCCTCGAGCGCCGTGAGCTCGAGGCACCGGCGCCGCGGCGCCGCCGCGGCGTCGTCGCCGTCCGCGTAGGCCGCGTCGGCGGCGGCCTCGTCGCTCTCGAGGGGCGGCAGCTTCTTTAAGAGCTGGGCCCAGACCTTGGCGTGGCTCGCGACGCCGTAGGACTCGAAGAGGGCGCCCGCGCCGTCCGCGGCCGCGGCGCGCGCGCGCGCGTCGTCGTCGCGGAAGCGCCGCATGAGGAGGAAGACGTAGGCCGTCT